TGCGGTAACGCTTATCACAAACCAGACAATGGAGCTGCGAAACGTATTGAATTGGAGAAGGATTTTCTGTTTATTGTGGATGCAGAAACAGCGCCCGGTTGTCTTATCAGGCTGAGGACGAAGATAGGTATGCCAGCGTTATATTAGGCCCAACAGCTCATTCGCAAAATTGCATCGCTTCGCTAACCCGCCTTCACCACACCCTACTAATGGGCTGCCAGGAGCCAATAAACAAGTATCGCCCCCACACCAAAGCTGCATCCATGGAAACTTCTTCTACCATGACTCGTTACTTGATCTCCCCTCTATCTCGCTCTATTGGATCGATTCACTGGATACTGTACACACATGTATGGAGACAACTCTATATCGACTGTCACGGTCTACAGCTAGATGGAGGACTCGCTATTCTCGCGGATTGTATTCAGAAGGTCTGCTCACTACAGGGTCAACGGGCTACATCCTACAAGCAAGGGCAAGAGGAGCAGACGTCGGCGTTCCACGTCTAGAGTGGGACTGGAATGAAGGGAATGAGGAGGTACCTCGCTGTGGACCGCCACGTAGGAGAGATTTGTGGGAAGGTAAGCGATCTGGGTTCCGGCTGTGCCGCTGCCATTCATTGAGACGGTCCTGCACTATTGTCACGCCGACATATTTTCAGCGCAACTGGTGAAGACAAAGACGGCTGACATGGTGAGGCGGCACGCCTATTGGCACGGGTGGAAGTGAGACGTGATCGAGTTCGTGCGTGAGTGTTCTATCTGCGGTGGTGGCAAGGGTCATAGGCCTTGGAGAGCGGGGCTGATGCAACGGATGCCAGTTCAGGACTTGTCGGGCCCGTTCGCGTTGCTCGTGGTGGATGCTATCGGCCCCCTGGTCGTGACACCCCGAGGTAACAAGTATATCCTGGTGTTCGTGGACTATTTCACGCAATGGGTCGAGGCGTTCGCTGTCGCGTCGCTCGACACGATTTCCTTCGTGAACACCATTATAGAGGGCGTTATCTGCCGTCATGGCGTTCCGGAACGCCTACTGAGTGATAGAGGAGCCAACTTCACGTCGAATCTGGCCAGGTCGTTGTACGAAACGCTGGGGATTAAGAAGTTGTATGGGGCAGCGTACCACCCGCAGACGCAAGGTCTTGTGGAACGCTTTAATGGAACGCTGATGGGGATGTTACGGATGTTCGTGAACGAGACGCAGACTGACTGGGACGTGTATCTGCCGAGAGTCTTGTTCGCGTACCGGACGGCGTACCATGAAGCCTAGGTGATACTCCGTTCTTTAGCTTGTATGGGCGAGATCCGGTGCTACCTATCGATTTGGCGTTCCTGAATACTGGGAAGGAATGGAAGAGCAACGAGGTTGCAGTGTACAGGCGGAAATTGTACCACTCGGAAAGTGAGCTCAACGCGGGTGGAACCCGTCGCTCAGAACGCCGAGAAGGATAAGGGGAGTACCAAGGGGATGGATTCTACAGAACAATACGACCGTTTGTTTACCGATACAGAGCTGGATATGCTAGAACGCGGTGACGGTCCGGGGGTACAGAATGAACCCGAGGAGTACGACAAGGAACTGGAGGAAAGGTTGATCCCGGTGGACGAGGACAAGATTCTACAGCGTGCCAAGCGGAACGCCAAGGAGAACCGAACCCAGAGTCGAGGGTCGCGAGGCTCGAAGGGACGAAGAGGGGACGCTCGGGTCTGAACCTCTGTCTCCAAGAGCCAGAAGGATGGCCGAGTCGGTATTGGACACTCCCCGAGGCCGAGAGATGTTCAACCAGTTCCTCGCGCTGCTGGCACGACAACCAGCGCCGAGCGAAGAGCCGACTCCGGCGAGGATGACGACTGGTGAGACCGCGGACGCCACGATGTCGACCCCGAGAGCCTGGCAAGGAGACGCATTCTCCTTCGACGCGTTGAGGCCGTCGCTACCTCTTGCGAGCGAGACGCAAGGCGAGGTATCGACAGTAACGCCAGCCGGTGCGACGTTCGACACGAGAAGAACGACGAGGCACCCTTCTTCGACGCCAGCTTCGACGCCTGTGGGAATGCCGATGGCTGCGATCCCGTCATACGGTGGCGTGACCATTCAAGTACCGGGTACCAGCACGGCGCGGCACGCCTGAGTGCTCTTTACCCGCCGTTCCAGCCTCCGATAACGCCCACAGCTGGATGGAACTCTGGTGGAACGCTGCCAGCGTGGTCGGCAGCTCCCGCAGCTCAGGTGCCTGCGAGCATGGGAGGCCCTGGGATTGGTAGGAGCTTCAGTGGTCCAGGAGGAGGCTACCAGACGCATGCTACGAGTGAAAGGGCGGCGGCGTTTTGGCGTTCCTTCGAGAAGTGCACGCATGGTATGGACGTCCAGATGAGGTTGACGGCGTTCGAGCAGTGCCTTAAGGGCAAGATTGGTCAAGAGTGGTGGTACAACTCCAGGATCGATAGTTTCGAAGCTCTGAGGGTGCGGTTCCACAACCGGTTTATCTGCCAGACTCCTGCGCAGCTGTGGAGCCGACTCAAGGCTGCCAAGAGGAATCGTGGCGAGTCTGCCGAGGAGTGGGGCGACAGGATCTCGACGATGTGTGAAGCCTTGAACTACCACGAACCTCGTATGAGGTACGAGTTCTTCTTGGATGGCCTGCGGAACAAGCAGATGAAGGCGGTATTGAACGCGAGCATGGTCACGTCGATTCCTGAAGCGTGTGCGCTACTGCTGTACAAGAACCTGCATCTCCCTGTCGAGGAAGAAGACGAGTTCGCCGGCGAAGTCACGGGACAACCAAGTGCGAATGGAGCGGCTTCGACGGAGACCCAAGTGCTCCAGGAGCTACGTCAGATGAATCAGCTGATGAGGACGCAACAGGTAGGGCCAGGAACGACGAGGGGGCAAGTCAGCGCTGTGGCTCCTCCGACTTCTCTGCGCGACGGCGTTCCAGTTGTGAGCAGGAACGCCACGGGTTCGGCACTCGGACCTCTACGTACTCGTCTCGGACCAGACACGCGCACTACCGAGGGTGAAGTGGTCTGTGGTCGCTGCGGTCGTATCGGGTGTAGCCGCGAACTTGCCCAAGAGGACAAGGCCGTTGCAACAGATGCAGCGAACTGGGTCACTACTCTATGAAATGCAACAGGTCGAGGCCTCAAGGCAGTTATCGGAACGGGGAACGCCGAAGAATGGAGTGTTTCCTCTGCGGCGAAAAGGACCGCACGATGGCCAAGTGTCCTAGTCTCGAGAGACTGCGTGGTGCGGTGCGGAACGCGGCAGTGGGAACGCCAACCGGCGCGTCCCCCACAGTGAAGGGGGCAGGAGGAAGGGGAGGGAAGTGTCGCTCCTTCCTCTTGCCTGACTGGCGATACAGAGGGAGCTGAGGGCTCACCTAGAACTACTAGTGAGGTCAAGGTGGCTCTGGTGGAACGTGGGAAAATTATGATGGCGCTCGTGGCGTTCCTGTCGCGAGCGTAAGGACGGAAACTGTGGATATTGAATCTGGAAGGAATGACAAGGGCAGTCTAACGGAACGGACTGGCTCAGAACGAGACGAGGAGATTACGGGCTTTACGGAGAGGCCCAAACGATGAAGGGTGGGCACGGTGGATGCAACGGAACGCCACGACGTGACCCAAGACTGGGAAACAAGGACAACGGAACGTCCGTCCAAGACGGGTACAGGACGCCAGCAGAGGGGCAGCGGAACGCTCAGTGGCCGTGTCGAAGCTCCTGGGAGAAACAAGGACAACGGAACGTCCAAGACGGGTACAGAACGCCGACAGAGGAGCTACGGAACGCTCAGATGCCGCGTCGAAGCCCCAGGGGGAATTTGAGGGACGAGAGAAGACGGTGGAAGAGACCGTCTGCTCCGAGCGAAGCAAGGGTGCGCTGGAATCGACGCCAGAAGACGCCGCGGGAACCAGGGTTAATCAGTTCTCGGCGATCATAGGGAAAGTGAGCTCAACGCGGGTGGAACCCGTCGCTCAGAACGCCGAGAAGGATAAGGGGAGTACCAAGGGGGATGGATTCTACAGAACAATACGACCGTTTGTTTACCGATACAGAGCTGGATATGCTAGAACGCGGTGACGGTCCGGGGGTACAGAATGAACCCGAGGAGTACGACAAGGAACTGGAGGAAAGGTTGATCCCGGTGGATGAGGACAAGATTCTAAAGCGTGCCAAGCGGAACGCCAAGGAGCAGGAGGAGCCGACGCTCGCGGATATGAGCGCCGTGCTTGGGATACCAGAGGAAGTGCTGGAACGCACGCGGGAGGTCTCATCCGGAGACATGAGAACGCCAGAGTATTGGCTGGATTGGTGCGCCAACGCGTTGGAAACCCTCGACAGAAGCAAAGCGCGCGAACCGAGATTTCCGCGAGGTTGAGGAGTCCGAAGGAACGTCGCTACCTGTGGTAAACGCAGGGTCGGGCGACAAGGACGAGAGTAAGGGTACTGAGGTGCCTATGGGAGCCGAGGAAGGGCGCGAGTCCATGCGGAACGTGTGTGTAGGACTCGATGGGACTGACGCCTCGGTCTCTTGGAACCCCGAAAAGGGAGCTGGAACGTTGTCGTTCAGGTGGCGTTCCATAATCCGTAATCGAGTATACGAACTCCTCTAACGGGAATGGAACGAGGAAAAGAGTCCTCATCGAGGAGGCCCGAGAGCCTTAGAGAGCGATGGAGCTGAGGATGACGTTCCACCGTTACGGGACAAGGATGACAAAGATTTTCTGGACGAGGTGTTGCTACGCGAATACCTCGTTGAGGTGGGAGGAACGCGAAAAGTGGCGTTCCTGGATCGGGCTGTGAGTTGGGCACGTCACTATTTTGAGGTTGAATCTCGCGGTATAAGGGAAAAATTGCGCGAAAGGGCGAGAGACAATCTAGAAATAGTGGACCCGGGCGCGGCGACCGTCGCAGCGAAGCAACAGAAAAAAGGTGACCTTTCAGTTGCCGACCAAGAAAGAGGCGGCTGCAGTTGCCGAAGCGGTGCCCGAGGTTTATTGGGTGAGCATGGGGAGAGCCTCGAGGAGATCAAGAAGGCCCGGGCTGTGCGAAATGGACGCCGAGGATGACCAGGACGGCGACGACGACGTCGTGCCCCAGGGCCAGCGAGTCATCTGCAGCGTCGGGGGTATGCAGGCTCTATCGGACGGATATATCGACTGCTGTCCGTCAGACATGCTAGCAGACACGGGTGCCATAGCGAGTCTGGTCGACAGGAGGGTGCTGCGGAGGCTTGGGCGTGACTCGGAGCCACTCAGACCCTAAATTGGAACGCTAGATAGCGTATCGGGGCACGCCATCCGTGTCCGTGGAGTGATTGACCTTCCCTCGGAACGCTGGCGAAGACGCTTCATTTCGTCGTGACCGACCACTTGTTCGTGGACGCGATCCTTGGAACGGATTCGTTGAAGGCGTTCCGCGCTGTGATAGACCTCAAAGAGCAGTCGATGACGCTGAAGGGAACAGGGGACGTGATCCCCCTGGGCGTGGCGAGAGTGGAAGAGACGTATGCCGCCACGATATCGTCGTCAGTACGGCTGGAACCGGGTCGCCAAGCGCTAGTGCGGTCAAGTGTTCGAGGAGCCGTAAAAGACAAGTCGGTCGTGCTAGTCGAGGGCGCTCCAGGAGCGGATGATTTGCTCAGAGTCGCTCGGACGCTGTGCACGGTGACAGACGGAACGGTGCTGGTCGAGGTGTGCAATGCTTCTACAGAAGAGGTGGAAGTCGAGTCTGGAGCTTACCTACTGTCGTGCCAGAGTCGGCCTTCACTGCCGAGGCACCTGAGCGAGAGGGAACCCCGATGAACATCAATGCGGTATTAAGCGCCTTTAGTGGGAACGCCGAGACTCGGGTTGAGAGGGAAGAGGCTAAAATGACCGCAGTGATGAAGGACGGAGACGACGATGACTTTGAGGTGGACTTCCAAGACTGATCGTTGGGGGCGGAACAAATGAGATGCTTCGTGGAGATGCTGAAGGACATGCGAGATTTGTTCGTCGATACTTCCAAGAAGCCGGGAAGGACGGAACTTCTGAGGTTCAGTATTGACACTGGAGCGCATGCGCCGATTAAGCAGCCCCCGTACCGAGTTTCGAAGGCCGAACGAGACGTCATGGAGTCTGAGATTCAAGAATATCTGAACCTTGGTCTCATCAGGCCTTCAACGCGTCCGTGGGCGAGTCCTGTGCTCATGGTAAGGAAGCCTGACGGTGACATTCGATTTTGCATCGACTACAGGATGTTGAACGCCTTCACAGTGAAGGACAGCTACCCGATGCCGTTGATCAACGACATCTTGGACGTTCTGGGGAACGCCAAACTCTTCTCGACCATGGATATCGCCTCTGGATATTGGAACGTTCGAATGGACCCAGACAGCGTGGAGAAGACCGCGTTCACGAGCAAGTTTGGGTTATATAAATAGCTTGTCATGCCGTTTTGTTTGTGTAACGCAGTTCCAGCTTTTGAGCGGTTGATGGAGAATATTCTCGTTGATCTCAAGTGGCGGGTTTGTCTAGTCTACCTGGACGACTGCGTCGTCTTTAGTAACGATTTCCCTACTCATGTAGTGCGAGTACGCCAAGTCTTGGAACGCTTCAAGAAGGCCGGATTCAAACTGAAGATGAAGAAGTGTCACTGGGGACGCGATCAGGTGGCGTTCCTGGGCCACATTGTGATTCCTACAGGAATCCTGCCCAATTCCGAGAAAGCAAAGGCGGTGATGAATATCGAGAGACCGCATGACTTACACACAGTAAGGGCGTTCCTGGGATTGACTAGTTGCTTTCGGCGTTATATACCGGGCTTCGCAGCGATTGCAGCGCCTTTGGAACGCCTGAAGCAAAAAGGGGTAGAGTTTCTGTGGAATGACGACTGTGAGGTGGCGTTCCGACAGCTTCAACGAGCACTGGTGAAGCCCCCTATTCTCGTGTACCCTAATTTCAGGGAACGGTTCAAGCTCTACGTGGATGCGTCGCACTTGGCCGTAGGGACGTGTCTGATGCAGGAGGTCGATAAGCGGGATCGAGCCATCGCGTATGCTAGCAAGATGTTGGCGGGCTCCCAGCGGAACTGGATTTACAAGACGAGCGGAACAACGGAGATTGAATGTTGGGGAATCGTGTGGGCTACGCGTAAGTTTAGGTGCTACCTAGACCATGCCGAGTTCGACCTGTTTACGGATCATCAGTGCGCTCACGTGGATCTTTGGTGAGAATACAAGGACGTCGAACGCCAAGTTGGCACGGTGGGCTATGGAGCTGTCGCAGTTACGATTCAAGGTGCACTACCGGGCGGGAACGTCGATGGGTCATGTGGACGGCTTGTCGAGGCTGTACCATCGACCAGACGTCGGTGGAGTAGGCGCTATCCGGATGGCCGACCTCCTCAATGAAGAAGCGGAGGAAGCAGCCAATCTCGGAACGCCGAGTCCTGGAGTAACACGAACGCTGGAAGGGACGCCGGATCCCGGTGGAACGGCCATTAGGAACGCCGGAGAGGGTATCGTTCAGGTCGGGGAGCATCTCGAGACCACGGTTCCCGGCGACGGAACGCCGTGGAGTGAGGATGAGCCTCTCACGCAAGCGGAACAGGAAGACGAACTCCAGGGTGGGGCTCCTTTAATGCACCCGTCTCCTGTGGGCGTATTCGGGTTGGGTTTGTAGTAGAACAAGAACGTGTGCCATGGTTGAGAGCATTAAAGGCGTTCTTGCAAGACGGAGCGTTGACGCTCGATCCGCAATTAAGGGTCAGCGTGCTGAAGATGTCACCCCACTACGTGATGAGGAACGGAGTCCTGATGAGGTTCGTACACCTGGGAGCATGTGCTGGTCCAGCGAGGACGATCTGGGTTCCGGCTGTGCCGCTGCCATTCATTGAGACGGTCCTGCACTATTGTCACGCCGACATATTTTCAGCGCAACTGGTGAAGACAAAGACGGCTGACATGGTGAGGCGGCACGCCTATTGGCACGGGTGGAAGTGAGACGTGATCGAGTTCGTGCGTGAGTGTTCTATATGCGGTGGTGGCAAGGGTCATAGGCCTTGAAGAGCGGGGCTGATGCAACGGATGCCAGTTCAGACCTTGTCGGGCCCGCTCGCGTTGCTCGTGGTGGATGCTATCGGCCCCCTGGTCGTGACACCCCGAGGTAACAAGTATATCCTGGTGTTCGTGGACTATTTCACGCAATGGGTCGAGGCGTTCGCTGTCGCGTCGCTCGACACGATTTCCTTCGTGAACACCATAATAGAATTTGTTATCTGCCGTCATGGCGTTCTGGAACGCCTACTGAGTCATAGAGGAGCCAACTTCACGTCGAATCTGGCCAGGTCGTTGTATGAGACGCTGGGGATTAAGAAGTTGTATGGGGCAGCGTACCACTCGCAGACGCAAGGTCTCGTGGAAGGCTTTAATGGAACGCTGATGGGGATGTTACGGATGTTCGTGAACGAGACGCAGACTGACTGGGACGTGTATCTGCTGAGAGTCTAGTTCGCCTACCAGACGGCGTACCTTGAGGGTCTAGGTGATACTCCATTCTTTAGTTTGTATGGGCGAGATCCGGTGCTACCTATCGATTTGGCGTTCCTGAATACTGGGAAGGAATGGGAGAGAAACGACGTTGCAGTGTACTGGAGGAAATTGTACCACTCGTTGAGGGACTTGCGGAGGCTGGTAGAGAGAAAACTGCTCAAGGCCCAAGACGGGCATGAAAGGCGACTGGACAAGCAAGTAAAGGTGTCATGTGCAGACAGAGAGGCCGTCTGGGTGTATCAGTATTTCAGAGCTCGAGTTGGGGAACGCAGGACGAAGAAGTTGGCGTTCTCCTGGCATGGCCCATACCGTGTTGTCGGCCAGGTCGGGGAGAACGCCTACAAGATCGCGATACCGGCTCACCCGAACAAGATCGTTACGGTAAACGTGAAACGCTTGAAGCGCTTTTAGGGTCGCTGGAGTCGACCATACGCGGACAAAGTACCGAGCGATGTCAGAGAAGACGACTCTGAGGAAGGAACGGGTCCCCTGGAGATGAATGACCTACCGCCTACTAGCTTCGTGGAACGCCTATCAATCGGTGGGGAAGAAACTGCCTTCTCAGGAGTGTCGTCGCCTATTGTGGACATTGTGGCTAAAAGAGTCGAGAAGTTTGAACTACAGTACCTAGAACTAACGGCTACGTACGAGACGTTCCGGCTGGCTCGAGCGGCGCTAGCGCCTGAGTTTGGAACGCTGTTCAGAGCATTTGAGGACGCGGATCGCAAGAAGAGAGGTGTGCCGGAGTTACGTCGGAACGCCCGGTTGGTGGATTCCAACGCGGACTTGGATGACGCGGAAATGATGTTCTAGCCGGCACGGGGCCAGCTGGAACAGGTGCAGCTTGATGGCTACGCCGAGGAGCGTGTTGGGGACTTGTGAGTTCCAGGACACGGGATTGCATTTATATTGTGTATATTGGGATGACTTCATGTCGTATCCCTGCGGAGTACTTTCGGAGTTGATGATTTTGGGGACGCGGTGGGACTTGCCTCAGTGGAACGGTGACGGGCTAATCAGTAAGGGCGGATGGGAGAGGTGGGAACGAAACGCGCCTTCGGCGTGCCAAAGGGACGACTTCATCGACTTCGCCACCATTATCTTCTCCGTCAGCGTCGTTCTCGTCAGCGTCCTCGTCATCGCCTTGGGCCGGCGTGCCAGTACCTGTGCTGGAGGATGCGGCTTGAACATCGTCTTCCGCGTCCTCCAAGTCAGCCAAGTCTTCGCGGTCGCGTTCCTTCTGAGTTGGAGGGTCAACGGAGGGGAGTTCGTAAGTCCGATCGGCCATTTGGGCCATAACGTCGAGTTGACGTTGCTTGACGCTGTTGTAGCTGATGAGCGTAATCCAAGGTTTGGCGTTCTGGTTGATAATCCACGACATCTTGAGCTTGGTTTCCGACGTGAGATCCTGCCGGATGCGTGCAAGGGCAGTCATGGAGAGACGGTTCTTCGCGGTGGCCTTGGGATTCAGGGCTTCGGTGAACCCGAGGAAGGAGAGCACTTGCGGGGATCCATAGGCGTCTACCTTTGCTGGATTGAGGGCGTTCTCGAGCGTGGCCTCGTATCTGGCCTGATACTTATCGTGGATGACGGCGAGATCCTCGGGGAAGGGTCCTTGAGGCTATCGACCAACGCGTGGAGATTTGCCGGGCTGGCCTTCAGGCTAGAACATTTCAGGACGCTTCTCCAGCTTCTCGAGGAACGCGTAGAAGCCCCACGTCTCGATACAAAGGATCGTAAAGGACAGACGAGCGTAAGAGGCCCGCATTCTCAGCTTGCGGCGATTGGACTGAGCCGAGGTTGTTTCGAGAGGCGCGTGGAACGCCCACTCCCAGAAAGTGCATCGGTGAGTCATCCAGAACCACCAGTGAGATCGATGAATATCCCGATTTTCAGCTGGGTCGTACCAAAGAGGTCGACCCGACCATGGGTACGCCAGGCGCCAGGGAATCTTGCCGGCTTCTTCAGCCTTGTGAAGGACTATAGCGATGGCGGTTCGCACGACCCGAGGAGCGTTGGGATTCACCTCTAGCAGCTTGGCATAGTCATACGAGGGAAGCGTCGAGGCGGTCAACTTCTGGGTAGAGCGTGGATTCTTAGCGGACGACTTGGTGACAGTGTCGCCAGCGCTAGCCTTCCGTTTAGATGTCTTCTTAGAGGACGTCGCGGGTTTCTTGGCCGAAGACTTTGTGGATGGCACGACCGGGAGTGCTGGACTTGGAACGCCGGGCGCGGCTGGCAGAACCACGACCGGACCCTGAAGGCTGACACTCGACTTGCCTTGAAGAATGTCTTCGACGAGTTGATCGAGGTGTTGGAGACCCGTGGACATGCCGTTAACCCCGAGATGCGTGCGCAGCTCGTCCCAGTGTTGTCGCTTAAGGGCGTCAGCGTCGTCGGAGGAAGGGCCATGTTCGGTCAATAGCCGCGTTGAGGAAAGTGCGGAACCGCTTCAACTTGGCAGCGGTGAAATTGGTCGTCATGGCAGAGGCGCTCGCTGCTTAGGTCGATGGAAAATTGGGAACTGAAGGATCCCATGTCGGAGGAGATTAGTGGCTGCCGTTGGGTATGCCAGGTGGACGCCAGCTGCGAAGGGACGTTGAAGTGGAACGCGATGAAGGGAATTGACCCTGGGCGAGTAGGCGCCAGGTGGGACATCTGCCCTGGCTGTGGACGACGGTTGGCGGTCCACTTCGGGAGCTGGCAGACGATGGAAAGGTGGCTAACGTGGGCCGGCGCTGCAGAGCTAAGGGAGGTAACAGGAACAACGAACCACTGGGCACTCGTTAGCAGCGCTGTCGCGGGCTCATAGTGTGGGTGGTGACCACCCGCTGAGGAACGTCTCGTGGGCGTTCCTGGACAGCGTCGTTGACAGCGGAAGAGCAGTCTACTTCTTCGCGTACACCTGTGGCGATATATACCTGGAAGCAGCGCGGAACGCTAATGCTTTAGCACTACCTCCTCTCGAGTATGCGTGCGCTCTAGTCTCGTTGGCGTTCCTGATTCCTATTGCTGTGCTGCAAGATTATGAGTCGCGATTTGGGATAACGGGAAGGCTGTGCTTGAGGTGGTGCGAGGTGTTCCACCACTCCTGCTGTTTGTTCGCTCCAGACGCGGTCCAGCTACTCTGGGTGTCTACATGCAGATACGCCCGAGCAACAGGGGAAGCTACGGTGGCAGTGATCGAAAGGACGGGCGATTTCGTGATGGGTGTTTACTTGGCGGTCACGCTACTATTGTCTCTGCTGGTGTATTTACCACGATTGGTTTATGAGAGCGTGGAAGCCGTGCTGGGAGGGCCGATCGGCGTAGTTGCTATAGCAATGGGCTGCATTATTACTGGGCGTGTCGTCCCTGTAAGACGCCAGGACTGGGGTCGAACGTAAAGCAAGGATGGGATGGACTCGCCGGGAGCATAGGGCGCCGCGAAGAAAGGGAACGCGCTAGTTTGGAGCGTCTACGCGGAGTGCAAGTGAAAGGAACGCCTACGGAGGCTCAAGCTGCGAGCGTAACGTCGGATGGAACGCCGACGGGTGGCATTCTCGAAGTGGCGGCTGATAAGACCGTGCGGCCGTCGTCGGGCGAAGGGCTCGGCGAGGGCGCCGAGGGTCGGTCGGGGAGAACTGTCACGGTCTACAGCTAGATGGATGACTCGCTATTCTCGCGGATTGTATTCAGAAGGTCTGCTCACTACAGGGTCAACGGGCTACATCCTACAAGCAAGGGCAAGAGGAGCAGATGTCGGCGTTCCACGTCTAGAGTGGGACTGGAATGAAGGGAATGAGGAGGTACCTCGCTGTGGACCGCCACGTAGGAGAGATTTGTGGGAAGGTAAGGATCTTCTAGGTCGTAGGGGGACCGTAGGGAGAGGCTCAGTCGTGTTTTTCCTTCTTAAGAGAGAAGTACTCAGAAAATATCAAGTTACATTTGAAATTATTGCGCTAGTTCTCGTTCCTACGTCGGCCTGCTAGATACACGACCTCGACACTAAGGAGGAAGACCGCGACACGACCGAATAATGCTATTTTTGGTTGGTTCCAGTTTTCCTGTTCCCATTATATCGAGTACGTATGCACAACCTGGCGCTGTTTCTGCATCCACAATAAACAGAAAATCCTTCTCCAATTCAATACGTTTCGCAGCTCCATTGTCTGGTTTGTGATAAGCGTTACCGCATCCATAAGTACGACATTACAACAGGTAATTTGGCAACTCTGCACTTAAAGCGACCCTAAATAAGCACACCAAAAAGTTCTGACTCCTCTCGAGGACGGGTGTCATGAGCCTTGACATCTTCAAAATGAATTCGGCGGCAGGATATCTATCGGCCAAGCCCCACCCTTGAAAACCCAGAGAGAGTTTTAACAGGAGCTAATTGAGACAAAGGTTGGGCAAGTGTGGAAGCTCTGTACATGCTTCATAAATGGAACAAATCGTTTCGGCTTTGTTGAGATTTTAGGATTCACCCCACACCATTTTCGACCGAAGGTTTTCGTAACCACTCCGCTCTTTTTTCTTGGTCATTTTGACAAAGACGGGACAAAACAAAAGTCATCAAGGATGGTGTAATAGTGTCGTTGTATCGCGAGTTTTCACCTACAATGAATTCGACGTTCTCTATTATTATTAAAATTTAAAAGTTTTAATAACGTAGAAATCATCGAGGTGGCCCCAAGTTGCCATGAGTCAAACGCTATTACTGTGAACGCAATCATGGTTAGCCACTGCGTTCAATACAAGGAGCAGCAAACGCGGACGTGCGTGGAGGTTGCACAGATACAGTTCAACTTGAGTCGTTTCATCGTATATCCCGGTCTACCATATGTAAAGAAAACTGCACCATTTCCTGTTCAAATTGAGAACTCCTCCATTTAAACGAGAGAAATTTCAATGTGACGGGATCTTCATCTAGTTGACGTTGTTGTATTATATGGTCTGTTCTTGCCTTTTTGCCAGACAAAAGTTCTTTTATTATGTCTCGTATTAAAAGTTTACCAATACAGTATCACTGTTGGACGTTGTTTTAATGAATATCTCTCTGGATCAGGATCATGTAGTACCATTGCGCTCGCTCTCCGGGGTTTAGGGGTACGCTAGATATCAATTTATGCAGTGCTTGAGCGGACGGAGTAACCTAATCCATTACGTCCGTCCACAACAAGAGAAGGGATGATTTGCAATCAATTCTGATATAAAATTGTTAGAATATAGTACGAGAAATAGTACGAGAAACATGATTGGTACCATTTACGAGACCACAAATAGAGATCGATCAGTCGTTTATGTTGGCTCTACCATCCAGCAAGTCAATGACAGATGGTCGACTCATAAAAGCGACTACAAGAGATGGCTTGAGGGAGAGAGCAACAACAATTGCTCAATATTTCACTTTTTTAAGCAATATGGCATTGAAAGTTTCGATATTGAGGCAATAGAAGAGTATGAGGTGAAATCAGCAGATGAGCTGCGCCAATTCGAGCAGCTTGTTAGTGATAAGACTAATTGCGTGAATAAAAAAGAGCATCGACCGGGTTGGATCGATCGAACTATGACAAACTCTACTATGAAAAATATCGAGATGTGATCAATGAAAAGATCAACTGTGAGTGCGGTGGTAGATACACTCGCAAGAATCGATACGTTCATGTTAAGACAATGCGGCATCGCGAGTGGCAATCAACTCAATGAGTTACTTCATTTTTTTTTTGAGTTCCGAAGTTCCTAAACATGATTGATCTGAGCCAGTTCTCCCAAGTTCCACAAAAAAACGCAGAACTGTCTCTATATCTTCTTTCTCTTCTATAATTTATATATATATAAAAGTATAGGAATTCCACCAACGGATGATGTCAATGTAACCACAGCCCTTCTAGTTATTAAAATTTGGTTCCGAAAATTTTGGAACCCGGTTTCCCACAATTCATCAAAATAATTGCAATTCACTATTAAATTGAAGCACCACAGCAGCTCTAGTAAGTACGACATCATTTTGGAACCGGTTCGGAACGCGGTTTTAGAACCTCGGAACTCAACATAAAACCTCAACTGAGGTTATTTTGAAATTATTCTCAGTCACAGAAGCAAGCGACAAGATAGCAACACCCGACTTAACCCTTTGAAACCGGCAGCCTGTATGATACAGGTTAAAAAAAAAGCTTAACCTGTATTATACAGGTTAAGCTTTTTTGACTTGGAGTTTGTATGGACCATAACAAAAACAAGACAACTAGGGATGGGTTTGTTCACCATCCTTTGGAAAAGTGGGACTCCCTCGTACAGGCGCGTGCAATCGGGACAAGCGCGTGCAGTATTAGATACCAGAGGTATGGTGCAGGTTCAAAAAAAAAGCTTTTTTGACTTGGAGT